CAGCTTGGTGTCATCGGCAAACTTGCTGAGGGCGCACTCAATCCCACTGTCCATGTCAGCGACGAAGATGTTGAACAAGTATGGCAAGATGATTGAACAAGTATGATTTCATTATACTACATACAGTTTTATATTACAGCAACCTTCCTGTTTCTACACCAAGCTTGTTATTTCAGTTATTTATATTACTGGATTTGTTGAATTAAGTTGTCATTTTATTATTTATTATAGCACAGTCGCACACTGTGGTCATTATTTTATCAGGTACCCTTTGTTTACACACGCTCCTGTTCCAGCTTCCCAAACAGCTCCTTATTACTTCTGACTGTGGATTACATTTGTACCCTCCTGCTACTTCATGCAGCTGAATAAGAAATGGAGAGGTCAGAATTAACACTATTAAATGTGGCAGGATTACTCTTCAGATACGTTAGACCAATTTCAGTGTTCAACCATGCTGCTTACTCAGGATGAACATTTACTTTGGGGTTTTTTGTTGTGTGAAGTATTCATACAGTTGAGACAAAGTTTATGTTCTATTTAGATAAGGGAGAACATCCTGCTCTCGTTAGGAACCCTTTTGGCTGAAATTGTCCATTGAGTGATTGCTTGAAAGCGAAACGGATCTGAGCCTCTACAAAAGCAACAAACTCCTTCCCCTAGCACAGCTATCTGAGCTGAGTAGCAGTTTCTGATTTGCTTAAGCTCTGGTCTGGAGATGCAGAGGTACCATCATCCAGGCAAGAGGCAGCTAAGACCATGCAGCTGCAACGCAGGGAGACCTTCACCTCATAGCAAAAACACCGGCATCAGCTTCTTGCCAGGCTCAGTTACTGCACAGCACAGCAAGATGTTGCAGTTGCATTATTAATGAATAAAAGGGGAAAACTTCAGCACAGAAGAGCCAGGATCACTAAATGAGTGCTCCCTTTGGGATAGGGTTTTCTTCCCCCAAGAGGGCATTTCTGATAAGAAATTACTTCTTTTTAGCAAGAAGTAGCCTCCTTAGAGTGGCTATGTTATTATTGAATATGCAACAATACCTTACCAGACTGCAGGTGGTCCCAGGGCTGAAATGCTAAGGAATGAATAGCACTATCATTAGAATGAGCTGCTAGTTCATGAGGAACAGCAGCTGGCAGCACTGCCAAGACATGAAGATGGTTTCAGCCGGCTGCATTGACTGCCAATGTTATTGATGTTTCCTTCCCCATGCATCTGTTTTGCTCCTTTGTATTAACACAGCTATTGACCCAAAGGAAGGCTCCTGGAGCTGCTTTGCCAAGTGAGAACCGCTCAACAGCCATCACACCTCAATGCACTGCTCAGCAGCAGCACCACCAGCACCCCAAATCCAGCCCTTCCCAACCACTCATGAATTTACTTACTGAGTCCCCACTTGCCCCAGTCTGCAGTCCAGGGTGAAGGGCAGCAAGAAGACATCCCTAAGTACCATTTCTCCTCCTCAACATACAAGACATAGAGCATAACACCACCCATCCCACAACCACACTTCCTATCTCCCCTTTCCCTCCTTTTTCTTTCCTTTTATCCCTACTCCCTCACCTGCCCCACATTATTTCATTACCATTAGTCCTTCCTACTCACCCACCTCATCTCCCAGCTTAAGGTGCAGCTGGGCTTCACACAGTGTGTGTAGGGCCATGCCTCCCACCCCATAGTATCCTTCCCAAGAGGATGTGCCCTAGGAGCCTAACACTAACTGCTGGCTGGTACTGCTCCAAGTTCAGGGTCACTAAAAGCAGGGATCAGCCCAAGGTAGATGCAGAAAAAGGACCCTAAGGGCAGTGGCATCCTCTTATGGGTGCATCAGAATCACAGAATGGTTTGGGTTAGACAGGACCTTAAGATCACCCAGCTCCAAACTCCTGCCACGGGCAGGGACACCTTCCACTAGAGCAGGTTGCTCCAAGCCCCTGTGTCCAACCTGGCCTTGAACACTGTCAGGGATGGGGCAGCCACAGCTTCTCTGGGCACTCTGTGCCAGCGCCTCAGCACCCTCACAGGGAAGAACTTCCTTATATCTAATGTGAATCTCCCCTGTTTATGTTTGAACCCATTACCCATTGTCCTATCGCTACAGTTCCTGTAGGGACTTCCCCACAAACAGGCGCATCCCAAGCAAGGCACACAATAAGCATGGCACACACTAAGGACACTGTCATCCCCAGAGGAGGTGTCACTCCAAAGAAGGTGTCACTCTTAGGCACATGCTTTCCAAGGAGGGTATCACCTGCAAACAGTGGCACCCCAATGAAGGTGCACTATAGGGAGGATTCAACCCAAGTAGGGTGCTCTGTAAGCAGGGTGCTTCCCAAGGAGCATCACTCTTAGGCAGCTGCACCGCTCCAGGGAGATGCCAACCGAGGGAGGGTGCTACCAGCAGTCAGATGCACCTTCTGACAGGAGCTGTCTCCAGCCACATACACCATAAGGAGAGTGCACCATAAGGAAGGTGCACCCCAAGTAGAGTGTCCCCAGCAGGCAGGTGAACACCACGGAGGGTGTACCCTAAGGGTGGTGTCACTGCAAGGAGGGTGCCACTCCCGGGCTGTTGCACCCCAAGGAGGCCGTACCTCCAGCACAGCACCCCCCAAGGAGGGTGTCACTCCCCAACAGGTACCCCCAAAGCCGGGTGCACTCTATGCAGAGCTGAACCCACCCGGAAGAAGGGCACGCCCCGAAGAGGGTGTCACCCGAAGGCAGTGCCGCCCAAGGGGGGTGTCACCCCCAGGCAGGTGCACCTCTGGCCGGGCACACCCCAAAGAGGTGTCAGCCCCCCCTCCCCCCCCCCAGTCCATCCATCCATCCATCCATCCATCCATCCATCCATCCATCCATCCATCCATCCATCCATCCATCCACCCACCCATCCATCCATCCATCTCTCCCTCCCCGCCCGCCCGCGGGGCCGCGCCAGCCGCCTCCCGCGCACCCGGCCCGGTGCTCCCAGCGCTCCCGCCCCGCCGCCGCTCCTGCTGCTGCCGCCGCCGCCGCCCGCCGAGCGGAGGGGAGCGGAGCGGAGCCGAGCCGGGCCTGCCCTGTGCATTGTGGTCTGTCGGCGGGGGGCGAACATGGCCGAGAAGCAGAAGCACGACGGGCGGGTGAAGATCGGCCACTACGTGCTGGGAGACACGCTGGGGGTCGGCACCTTCGGCAAAGTCAAGAGCTGAGTACCGCGGCCGTGGGGAGGGCTCCGGGCTGCGCACCCCCCTTCTCCTTTCTTCCTCCTCCCCTCCGCTAATGCGGGCCTCCGTTCCCTGCATCGCCTCCCCTCCGCGCCGAGGCCGTGCAGCATCCCCGGGGGGAGCCCGGCGCCGGCCCGGTGGGCTCGGGGTGGGAGGTGCCCCCTTCTCGGGGTGGGGTTGTGAGGAGGAGAATGGGGCTCGGAGGGTCGCAGGCGGCGGGAGGGAGATGGAGCCCTCGCCCTTGTGTGCTGCAGCCGCCGGTGCGCCCAGCAGGACCCACCAAAACTTTCCTCCAGAACTAGGAGGAAGGTGATGGGAAGGTTGGGCAGCAAAGCCGGCGCTGACGGGCATCCTTCCCTCGCTGTGCCCAAGCTCCGCTCCCTTCTGCTCCTTCATTCCCGGTGGGGCGGCAAGTGCTTTCGGGTGGGTGTGAGGAACGGGAGTGAAGGGGGTTTCTTTTGCTGCCCCCCTGTACGTTATCCTTGGGGAGCTTGGGAACTGGCAGACACCGGCAGCAGGCGGGGATGGAGGGTCGGGTCAGGCTTGGGCTGTACACGGGGATTCCTGTGTCATTCCTGCCAGAGTAGTCAGCTTGCGTGTTCAAGGCGCTGCTTTGCTTTACCTGGTTTGCAAAGATTTCTGTTTCTTTTCCCTGTGAATTCTTCCATTACAGGCAAATTTCAGTTTGAATCAAGATATTAAAAAACCCCAACAACCAACCAAAACCCAGCAAAATGTGTTGTCTAAGCAGAATGGATAGCAGTGATTCCTGGTTGGAAATGGGTTTTGTTTCAGCCAGGGCAGTGTAGTGGCTGCTCGAAGGGGTGATGTGCCCGCATGCAGCCACTGGAGTTTTAAAATAACCCCGAACTTGATGGCAGGGGAAAGAAACCACTGCAACCACTGGAGCTAAATCCACCTGTGACCATTAATCAGGCCCCTAAAAATATATTGCCGTGTTTAATCCCAAACCACAAATTTACTGGCTGAAGAATTATCGGAATAAGTACTTCTAACAGTAAGGACCATTGAAATCACTGATGGGTACCAGCAGACCTCAAAAAAGGGCTCCAAAGATGGGGTTTTGTCCTTGTAGACCAAATTAAGCCTGCCAACAATAGCCTTTTTTCCTTAACTACCCTCCAGGAGTAACTAGTACAAACACCCCCCACTCCATCTATGACCTTAGTAAAAGTTGAGTTTCCAAAGAAACATTTCAAATGACATAAAAGATTTCCTAGCTCAAAATCCTTTATAGGTACATAGTATCCTTCATATATGCATATATATATATGTATTATATACATACCCTCTGGCCCCTTAATATTTAGCCTACAACTGACAGGTGTAATTTGCACTGGAGATTGGAAACTGAGATGAAGAAACTCAATCTCCTATTTAGACAGAATTCTAGCATTTTAATCAAATGAGCTTCAGAAATACCTGCATTCACCCTGTTTAGCAAGAGACGTGTGAAAAAGGACGGAGATTTTGGCCTGATTGGTTCAAGTGTTGTATACGGTGTGTGTAATAATTGCTTTTACTCTAAGAAGGCTGGTGCAATCGGTGACATTTCTTGTGGGTGCTGTGTTTTCTTCCAACACTGCCTTGCACAAGAGGCCTTTTACTCCTCAAGGTTAAGAAATCATAAAATTACAATTGTCAAGGATTATAACTGTTAAGGAAATAAAATGGCAATGAAAGAAAGGATTTAGTAACGATGGGGCACTAACCAGAGCTCGAATTTGTGACTGGAGCTAAACAGTCACTTTGAGCTATCAGAAACCAGAGACACAACAGAAAAAGCCCCATTGGGATGTTTGTTCTGGGACATCAGTGAACGGATCCTCCCAAAAAGTAGCTAAATGATGACAGAAACTCCTCGTTTTAAGCCCATTTAGTTCCTTGATCTCATTTACAGGAAGACTACACAAGGCTTTCTTCAGAGGGGGGCAAAAAGGCTGGTAGATGAGAGCAGGATTTTGGTGCTAATAGTGAAATTACAGCTGGAGTTGGTGACGGAAATGCAGCATCTGTTAGAAAAGAGGAAGGTGGCAGGAGTAACCATGGTGGATGTGAATGTGGTGGATGGGTAGGAGGTCTCATGCCAAGGGTCAGCTTTACTGCACAGGATTTTGCCAAATACCAGGAGAGCTGGAGGTAGTTATTTCCCTGTCCTGCAGGCCAAAGATAAGGTTAATTTGCAGAAAACAGAACTGTGGTAACGATCTTGGATTATGACTTTAGTGAAGGAGGTGGCATCTCCTCCACTGGTGGTTGGTAAGAATGGATTAGAAGAACTGCTGCTGTGTTTGTCATGGGCACATCCCACCCTGCAGGTCCCTGAAGACCTCTCCCACAGCCACAGCCCTTGCACAACGAGGTTCACGGTGGTTGCAGCTTGGGGACCATCGGTCAAAATCCAGCAACGCAGATATTTTTCCATGCATGACATTCCAATGGCCACTTGGTGTTTTCTTACCCACACTTGTTGGCCACCAAGGTGATCGGTTTGTGGTCCCTCAAGGACCGGCAGTGCTTGGGTGATGTTTTTGTTGGTTATGCTGAAAACTCATAACACTATGAATCAGGGTCAAATCCTGTTTTCTCATGCACTGTGCCGTTGCTGCTGAAGAGCAAACCTTGCGTTGGAGGGAAGAGAAACTAATGGAGACTGAACAGATGAAGGAAAGGGAAAGGAAGGATGATATAACATACAAGCAAGTGGCACTGGGGTAGAATTAATAGCAGTGTTGCTAAATATATGCTTTGGATGGATTTCATTTTTAACTTTGGGCTAAGATAAAGGCTGGCACAGCTGGTAGGAAAGGAGTTTTCTCACCCCTCTGTAAACTTCTACATTCCACTGAAGCATTTGCAAAACTTAACTCTTTGTGCTTAACTGAGCTGCATCAAACACGCACCCAGAGGTAGGCTTCCTTGGTACCTGCTGTAAAAAAAGCTATGCTGTCAAGGAGTTTTAATGATTATCTCGGCTTATGGTGTTATAAACACTATTCCTCCTCATTTTTTTCCTTATAAAAATAACTAAATTAGAAGGGACTTATTTCAGAAACTAATTCTATATATCCCTTCCCTTCTTTCCTTAGCAGCATCTGATGCTGAAATGTACTTGTGCTCAGGCAGTCATATGTGCATGTGGAGGAGGGAGCAGCTAAGGACACTCACACTGTATCCTGTTTGGTGCTGGTTTTTGGAGTTTAGGGTCAGCGTTACCACCTAACCCCTATGGCTGGGTTATTTTGCAGCACTGTGTGCAGTGCTTCTCGTCTCAGTGTGAAATCCATCTTCATTGCTCACCCCAGTGACTACTGGTTTTAAGCTGTGGTAGACCTTACCTAGGTATTTGTCACTAGAAGACAAGATATATGTTTAAATCCCCTTTCTAATACTGCCACTCAGCCCCTTCTTCTCCTCTGGGCTTTTAATCCAGGGAGTTAGTGAGAGGGAAAGAGAGGGCTCCCTCACCACCACCACTGAGCACCATTGCCCATCCCTGGGGTGAGGACAAACCCCTTAGAGATGAGCATACAAAGCATCCTAGTCCATGTTTATGGAAGGCATGGGACCTGCCAGTGCTCGTCCTGGGGCCAGATTATCCCATCAATGTGTACATGGGGTCAGTGGCAGTGACTCCTTGAGCAGAGGGAAGGTTGTCCTTGCTACCCCATGTCAAAATCCCTGCATCTGCAGGCTGCAGCCAGGGAGACCTGAAAGGCTTCGAAGTCTCCCACTACATAGCAAATTATGTTGTGTCTTTGTCTCTATTTCTCAAGGCGTTCGAGTAGGCTTAACAAGCCACGGGGGACTGGAACAATAATATCTCTGTATCTAATGCTTACTGTAAGCAAAAGATGGATTACAAAATAGACTGTTTATTTTTAATTATTAATGTGTCGGAGCTAGCAGACCTTCACAGAGTTACACAGTGTTTGTCATGGATGGAAGGGAGATGAACTCTTCAGCAATGGTATTGAAAACAATTATTATTCATTCTGGGCATGGCCATTTATTTCTTTTCCCAAGTGCATAATAAAAGATTTTCAAAGCATAAGTCAGGATAAGGCCAGAAGGGATTGTCTTGAAACAAAGGATGGCAGAAACTGGGGGTTTCTTCCTAGTTCAGTGTTAAACCTCTTTCTGTTGCAGTTCCTCAGTTTCCCAACTAATGGATTAGTGTGTCACATTTCTATCATGGACCTGAGTGAACCAAGGGCAGCTTTCAAAGCACAGGTTCTTGTGCTCCCAGGAAAGAGAGAGCAGAGGTATCGCAGTGTTATATTTGACCAAACTGAATGCTGCTGGTGAAAAGAGTTGATCTCAAAGACATAGAATCATAGAATGGTTTGGATTGGAAGCTGCCTTAAAGCTCATCCAGTTCCAGCCCCCTGTCATGTGCAGGGACACCTTCCACTAGAGCAGATTGCTCCAAGCCCCTTCCAACGTGGCCCTGAACACTGTCAGGGATGGGGGCATCCACAGCTTCTCCAGGGTAGAAAAGCTGTGGATTCTCTGTCCCTTTTGGACATCTGCTGAAGATGTCTTACACCCCCCTTTCATGCCTTCCCCAGCCTCCTTGGTGTAATATACACCATGACAAGCTTGGCAGATAGAAATCAGTGCCCTTTATAGGACTACTATTGGCACAACTTGGGGAGGTATTTCTTGCAGTTAACAAAGAGGCTGTATCCTGACCCATTTGCATAAAGCTTGAGGATGCTTCTGTGCGCCTTGTGCACATGCTGCTTTGCAGAGGCTTCCTCCAGCACTGCCCTGCTCCCTTCTCTCCAAGGATGCACCAGGGAAAATGCCTCCTCGGACTATTTACAGCACAATCTTTGCACCGCGAGAGAGGAATTATCTGCCTCCTCCAGCCCTCAGCTAATCCCTAAATTGCATCTATGCTGCAAAGCTGAGTTTATTTTAATTTCATCTAGTAGTTTTAAGTATTGCAAGGAATAAAATGGACGTGCAAAGTGCTGCTTTAATTTTCAAGGGCAGTAAAGGGTTTTATTTTTAGGATGCTCTTACTGAGGAAAGAATCTCTGGTAGGTCTTATCTGGTGGCTAATAATAGTGACCTGGCATGCCCTGAGCAGTGCCGGCGCTGCCGCCCTGCCCTTCTCACGCCGACTGCTTACTCCGCTTGCTTCTGATCAGCTCATTAGAGCCTCCAAAATTACAGTCTAATAATGTAATAACAAGGTTTGCTTGTAATTATTAACTCCTTGTGCTGTATGTTATTACTGGAAGGGTAATGTTCATAATTAAAGAGCACAAATATTTACTGTAAGCAGGTTTTATGTGCAGTCTTTAGAAAACCATCCGTATGTTACTGTTTTTAATATAACATGAAATATTGAGAAGGGGTAGCTCATGGCCAGAGAACCCTTTTGGATATCAGCATCCAGTTGACAGTTTCCAAACAGTGTCTGCTGTAACCTTCAATATAAATCGTGCTTCCTAGGAGCTTTATATTTTGTTTGCATAGTCTGCTTGTTGATAACAAATGGATTGGATGCTGAATCCATTTCACACTATTGTTGAGTTAGTGCCATTCCCCCAGTGACAGTGGTGCTACTCCCAGCCTGTGGTTGCTGTTTGTCCCTGCACACAAGAGATAAGCATCAGCATCTCAATGCACCAAGTGCCTATTATAAAAACCCCTACTGAAGTTTGTATCTTTTCTAACACCACCTTTTGCTCTTGCAATGCAGCAGTGTTCCTGCAGCCTGTCATCAAACCAAGAAGCATGCTTAAGAAAGTATAAATAGAAATTCATTTTAGTAATGCAAATCCTGCAGTCCTATTTTGAGCAGGGAAAATCCCTGTATCATTTTTTTAAAGAAGTGTGATGGTCTAGTTTTAAGACTTGGTTTATCAGGGGTTTAATCCATCAGTGTGTTACGGTGGAGATTCTCCTTTTCTATTTAAATCTATCTGTTTATGATTAACGTAGCTTTTACATGCTATAAATCCTTGCAAATTAGCTTTGGGTACGACCTCTTCCAGTAACTCAGTCTGTTTTATTTAGTGGAGTGGTTTTTGTGGAGAAGTCTCCTCCCTTCTGTCTTACATGACTCCAGTGGGAAAACAATTAAGAGACAAAAACTAAGATAAAATACTTCACCCCCTTATATTTTGTTAGTTTTCCCTTCAAGAGTTGTTTTTTGCTTATAAATCAATGTCCTAAATGGCCTATATGAATCTTGCTATACTGTTTAGTGACTTTGCAATGCTTTCTTTCTAATAGTTGGCGAACACCAGCTGACAGGGCACAAAGTAGCAGTAAAGATACTCAACAGGCAGAAAATCCGCAGCCTGGATGTGGTTGGGAAGATCAAACGGGAAATTCAAAACCTTAAACTCTTTCGGCACCCTCATATTATCAAACTGTGAGTACCCTTCTGCCTTTCAGCTTACTCGATCTGCAAAGACTTCAAGTTCACAATTGACTAGGTTTCAGGAGATGGCTTGAAGTAGTAGATTATGTTAGGTATGTGGTCAAGTTTTTGCACATTGGAGCTAATGATTGCTTTTGGGGAGTCTCCCACTAATTTATGGAGGGGACACAGTTGACACTTTGAGCAATGATGGAAGATGGTTTCTCCCATTGGGAGTAACAGCCAACAGACCAATGTCCCTGCGTCAGGTTTTGCTCAAAGCTGTGCTCTGTTGAACACAGAGACCATTGTAAAGGTGCGTAGGGAAGATCTGGGCTTTTCTGCACCGGGATGCTGTTAAGGGTTTTTGTGATGATGCTATTTAAGCTTCAGATCTCCAGTATTGGAGCTGCTGAGAATTGTGCCTGAGGAACTGCAGCATGGCCAGGCTCGTAGAGTGAAGCCTTGGCCCAAAGTCAATAGGTTTTATGTTTTAATAGCCTGATTACCCAGAGCTTAAAGGAACATTTTTTTATTATTATTTATTATTCAGACATAGGTTTTCAAAGTTGCCATTCTGATGAACCTGAATTTAAGTTGTAAATCAGCACCTGCACTGCAGCCTCTGGGAATCCTTCTCAATCCCCAGTTTGTGCAGGCAGGCCACATTAACGAGGCACTTGATAATATCTTTGGCATTTCTGTAAAAGAAAGCTGTTGAATGGTAACTGCAAGGAGAAGTTGACATTTAGGTCAGCCTTAAAACTGGCATGAGATATAGCAAATACCTGGGATTTAGAGGCAAGGGAAAACAAATTTTCTCTGCAGTTAAATAACTAACCATGCAGCAGCTGTTGACTTTAGAGTAACTTCACAGTTCCATGGATTTATTGGAAAACAGATTGGTATTATTTCATGAAAAACCCAGCAAGAGTCCTCAGCTGTGTACCCAGCATCCTGCAATTGAAGTCCTGTTCACACATTTGTCAAAGTACTAAAGCCTAAGAATTAAACCCAACTTAACAATATAAGTGTCCTATGGTACATACCGCAATCATGAAATACAGTGATAAAAGAGGTGAGGAAGAGAGACCTTGGTGCATAAACCTGCTCTTTCAATAGCTTTTTATGTGTATACAAAAGAAATAGTGGGGCAGTTAACAGTAGCTGGGATGTCTGGGTCCAAAGTACTTCAGAAAAATTGGGTTGATGCTGTTGATCTTTATGGGGCTATCACCTGTTCACTGCTGATCTCTGAAAATGGTTTGAAATGTGTGTTTGTTATAAATTCCAATGCACCGAAATTCGGCTGTAAAAAGAAAAAAGCAAACCACAATGTATGTGAAATAAAAGAGAGGGGTGTCTCAGATGGTGCTGCTATGAATGCCTGTAGCAGCATTGACCTCAGCTGATGATATTTTATCAGCTGGAACACTGAAATGGAATTGCAGCGCCCAGGGATCATATTGAATGAAAATGGAGAATAAATAATTTGCAAGTCAAGGGTGATGCTCTTTTTGGATTTTTCCCCATTCTAGAATATAGAGGGATTTAATATTTGCAAAATAACTTTTTGGGGTGCTCATCTTTTTTTCTAAAGCTTTCAAAAGAAGCTCCCTCTAGTGCCTAGAGGTCTTTATCTTCTTTATGCTTGATGCAAGGGAAACCAAATATACCCCCTTCCCTGCCTCCTGCGAAAGAAGCATTCATTTCTAAAGCTGTTGTTGCAAATCTTAGCCAAAATGGAAATTTGTAAGTCAGGACAGTCCTAAATGTCATAGGATTATCTGGCAGAGATTTCAGAGGATCATTTAAAAGCTTGAAGGAAAACTGTAGGTCTGTAAAAGAGACCCTTTCATAGACAAGTGAAAGATTATACTCGAAATAAGAGATGGCTTTTCAGAAGTGGAAAGCAATTATAAATGCAAGATCCAAACAAATGCTTATTTTAAGTGTTGATGTGAACCTAATCATCTGTTTAAAAGCCTCTCCCTGTTCTTCTTAATTATTTTCTTAAGTAATCCACTTGTGTTTTTGAAGGTACCAGGTCATCAGCACGCCAACAGACTTCTTCATGGTCATGGAATACGTATCCGGCGGTGAACTATTTGATTACATCTGTAAGCATGGACGTGTAAGTGCCAGTGCCGTGCCCAAACACAGCCCAAACACTTGTGTGGGAAGAGGATGGTGTTTAGAAGCAAAACGACTGCTAAAGGGAGCACAGTTAAGGTTAAAACCCAAAATAGAAGTTGCTTCACAGCAAACCCATCTGGAGTGTCTCGTACCCGGCTCGCACAAACGTTGTGTGTGATATTTTTTGCAACATTCTCTGATGTATTTCCATGCACAAACCAAAGCATCCAAGGTAACGTGTTGCTTAGTGCAAATATTTGGAAAACTAGCATAGTTTTATCATTTTTTAGCTACGGGTTGCCTGTCAAAACCCCCACGGTTCAGCAGCAGATTTACAGCATGGAAAGGAAGACGGCTCGGTGTGGTCTCCATCCCAGTCGTTCACCTCCCCCAGACTCCCCCTTGGTTCCACGTCAGGGTTTTTGAAGACTTTTAAAGGATGTGGCTTATCTGAACAACATTCTCAAAAGCCAGTAATCCTGCTGGGTATAAATCACCTGAGGTGTAGGTTAAACCTATGGAATGTGGTATTATGGTTACAAAGAAAATCACTAGTGTCTGCTCCATGGACCTCCTCATAGTCAGGGAGCAATTGCAGGGCAAGGAGATAAAAATGGGCTTAAGTGGACATTCAGAATAAGGTTTCAGGTGAAGGATCAGCCTATTATACATTTCCTGTCTGTACTGTAAAAATCAATGCATTTATAACTAAATGGTATAGATTAGTGCACTGGTTGATACAGTGGACTTCACTTTTCTGTGTGCAGTTCTGATTTCCAGCATATTTCACCCATCTGGATCTTTTCAGTGACTAATTTGAATCTTTTCTGGATTTTTGCATACAGAAACTAAATTTTGCATCAAGTGTCTTTAGGAAATAATCAGTCAAAATAATCATTCTCCTCATCATTTTAAATGTAAGTTCTCTTAATACAGGTCAGACAACTTTATAGCTAATATAAATCATCACAGTATTCCACCTTTAGCTTTTTTTTCCCCAAGGCCATCTGCCCATGAGGAATTGCTCCCTGCAGCATCCTCTGCAGTGTTTTGTCCAGTCTTGATCTGCATGTGCTGTGTAAGAGAATTGGTCCTGTTGGGATAGCAGGCCATTGCCTCATAGGTGCCACCAGCATGTTCTTGATAGCTCAGCTAAATTCAGGTTTCTAATTTCATCTCTGGCCTGTATCATTTGCAGAGACTAGCACATTATAAAATGCAAGGGGGGAAATCTGCTTTATTTGCTGCTTCTGGTCACAAGCACACTGTGATTTTCTCTCTGTACCATGGAATGTTTTGGCTCCTTGCTAAGTCAAACCTTCCCTTGCCAGCTCTGCACGCAGACCAACCTTCAGGACTATTTCCCCTTGCATCTGTAGGTTGAAGAGGCAGAAGCTCGACGCCTTTTCCAGCAGATTCTCTCTGCAGTGGATTATTGCCACAGACACATGGTTGTCCACCGAGACCTGAAACCAGAGAACGTGCTGCTGGACGCACACATGAATGCAAAGATAGCCGATTTTGGTATGTGACCCCAGCAGCATTCCAGACATGCAGCCAGCTCCGAGGCGCTTGCTGGAGCGTGTCCGTGTAGCACGCCTTACAAAACCCAGAGCCTGTTTTCCTAACCACTAAGCAGTTGCTTTACCTGAAAAGCCCACAGTTATAAACACCATCCCTTTTGAAAAGCAGGGATTACCTACTGTAGGCTGTTTCTGTACTGCCATTAAGAATAGAGCAGAAAAGTAATGCAAATCTTCACTATGTTTTAGTATAATCACCTAATATAAAGATTATCTGATTTATGGATAAGACAGACTCACTGCAGTTAGTTCCAGGTTGAGCTGGCTGCATGTTTATTTTCATGCATGTTCTCCATAGGTTTTGCCATGTGCTCTTGGCCTCACTTTGTTTTACGAATGAGCAGTAACAGGAGGCTGTAAATTGCATTCCTGATTGAAATCCATTGGAATAGCTGGGCCACCAGCCATGTCCTGATGACTCCTTTCTAGCAGTGCTAAATCCTTTTGAAGATTTACTAATTTCACACCCCCACATGATTCCTATATAAAGTAAGAGCTCTGGGATGAATTATGTCTCTGTTCCTGTGTGCTCTGGGATTTGCAACTTAGAGAAGCAGAATTAGCCTGGAGTGAATATTCCTTGGTTGGATGTAAAAATAACAATAACGATAATAATTGTGAATGCCCCATCCCTGGCAGTGTTCAAGGCCAGTTTGGACGGGGCTTGGAGCAACCTGCTCTAGTGGAAGGTGTCCCTGTCCATGGCAGGGGGTTGGAACTGGATGATCTTAAGGTCCCTTCCAACCCAACCCATTCTGTGCTTCTATAACAATCAGCATAAATTTTAAATCAGCTCAAAGGAGTCTTATCTAAATTAAATGAGCAGTTCCCCCCTCAAATTTCCCCCTCCACTTACAATACCTCTCCTTCTCTGTGAGACACTGAGTTCTCTGTGCTGGGACCTTCACATCAAACATCACTATATACTAAACATCTTCTCTTTAGGGTTATCCAACATGATGTCAGATGGTGAATTCCTACGCACCAGCTGTGGCTCCCCAAATTACGCAGCCCCTGAAGTCATCTCTGGAAGGTAGGACATTGCACTTCTCACCAGAGCCTGTGTGAGCACATAGTCTTTAAATGAGTTCTTGGGATTCAAAACAGCTTTGCACATCTAGTAAAAGCAGCTGGGTCCTTCCAGCCTGTATTTTATGTTTAGGTGAATCTACTGGCAGAAATCTGAAAGTATGCTTGGTTATTTCAGTAGCTGCAATAGCAATAGGAAACCAGGTTTTGCTAGAGGTGTATCATGAATTATGATAGGAGATGTTGACTATATTGTTAATTAAAGAGGGGAGAAATTACTCTTAGCATGCAGATACTGAGGTTTCAGATGGAAAGGCTTTTCCAGATCACAACCTTCTCTCCTGCCCACTTATAATATAAAATACAGTGTAATGAGGTGAACCGTTCACTACCAGAAGGATCAGGGAGATCTTTAACCACTTCCCTACATTGTTGAGCTCTTACATTGAAAATACTTGTCTTCTGGCACCTTAGGCTGGGGGTTTTGTTCATGACAGTAGTTTCAACCATTATAACTTTGTTTCAAACTGATAACTTGAGTTGACAAACCTCCAGTGTAGTTGCATGTTGCAGCATGCAACATCTGCACAACACATGGCACGTTGAATGCATTCTGCAAGGGTGAATCAGACTTTACTATGTTGATACAGAAGTGTTACCTCCTATGTTTTACTGTTGGGAACCTAAGTTACATGACTGTGCTTATTTCCCTATCTCTCTCTATAATAGCATAGAAAGGATTGCAAATACAGATTTCAGTCCTCTGTGTGGTCCTTCAAACTGCCCATCTCATTATGTGACCTGTATTTTTGAACTGCCCTTAGCATGAGCATTAGTTTTCCTCTGTTTCCAGCACAGAATTTTGCCTATAACCATAGCTTTTAAATACAACATTTTGCTCAAAGTGTGTTCGCTGTGATTATGGTTATTTTATCCCTGTTTATGTCAATACAAGTGTTGGCAGAGTATCCTAGGAATTAGACTAGCATCCAAAAACCCTGTTGTGACTACAGCTCATTGTGCGAAACCAAGTAAATCCTCACTGTCAAGAGGGGGACGAAGCCAGAAGCTCTACCATGATTCCAAATAAATATTATTAGTATTATTTCAATCTCGTTTTCAGTAAAGGCCAGACACACATTTAGGAGACAAGGCACATGGCAGATTAACAAGGAGGATTTAGTCCCTGTATGTAGAGCATGATTGTTCCAAGGATACAGGCAATACAGCTTGTTAGCAACAAAAGTTGAAATAAGACCAAAATCAAGCCTACACATTGCAGTTTTTCACTGCCTATAGCTGCAATACCACTTGCAGTACCAGTGATGCTTAATACCCCTGATTAATATAACAATCTGCCTTCTCAAAGCTACAGCAGCGTATGAGAGCTGCATTTGTGAGGAAAAGGCATGATCCACTGTTCCTGCAGTGGGATGAGTGCATTCCCACTGGGTATGCGGGTCAGGGGAGCTGGTTCCCAGCTCCTGCTGCCTTTGCTGGGTAGAGCACAAAAGCAATGGAGTGTGACAGCTCAGGTTTCAGAGTCCTAAAAGAGTATCTCATTCAGGCTTAAAAGTCCAATCAGCTATTCAGGCCATGCAGTTATCAGCAAAAGAATCAGCCTTCCTGTCTGTTGGAATTGGGCATGGAGGCAGGATCAAGAAGGCATCTAGCTAATCGTCTGCATTTCCAAAATGACACTGCTGCTGTCCCTGGCCTCAGCAGGGAAAGTCTCACCCTTGGGTATGCAGAACTGGTGTTTTAGTGGTGTTCAGAGAATGGCTGTGTGCATGGCTGGCGCTTTTTGTACATTGGTGTGTCTGTGGGGGTGCTTTTCAGGAGGAGCGAGTGCAGGATGCTGAGGTTTCAGGAAGAGACTTCTGTATTTCCATTTGAACCTCTGTGTTTTGGTAAGGTTTTACAGCCCAAGGGTAAGCACTGCAGGAATGCATCAGTTGCAGCAAACCAGATAACTAGGGCAAGCAGGCAGCAGCAAACCCTATATATTTGGGGTGTCCGGACTTGGTGATGCCAGGGAGCACATTAACAGCTTGTCAGAAGCAGGAATGCTCATGTATCAGCGCATAAACTTCAACAGAGAGTAAATGCTCAGAGGTACAATACCTGCTGCCATTTCATATGCCTTGCTGAATGAATGGTGTCCCTGCCCATGGCAAGGGGGTTGGAACTCTAAGGTCTCTTCCAACCCAAACCATTCAAGGACTCTATGAACAGAAATTGCTGGCTGAGCGCTTGGGGCAAAGCAATAAGGAGCCTGGCAAAGCTCTTGGAAGTATGGGTTTGCTTTTTGGAGGGTTTGGCAGAGGCAGGGATGTACATGGCCATCCAGAGAAGCGCGGGCAGCCAGCACCAGCTCTGCCATGTCATTTCCCCTCACTCCTCAGTGATTTTGGCTTAGGCAGGTTTAGTTGAGAGCATCCATGTGAGCGGCCCTGGGGTGGGATGCAGCTCTGGCCTGGTGGAGCTAAAAGCAGGTCTCCAGCTCACCCAATACAACCTGTACCTTAACTAAGGAGAGGAGGACAGGGGGTGACATGTTTCTCCTGCCTTGCCCTCACACAGGCTGTATGCTGGCCCAGAGGTGGACATCTGGAGCTGTGGTGTTATCCTGTATGCCCTTCTCTGTGGCACTCTGCCTTTCGACGACGAGCACGTCCCCACCCTCTTCAAGAAGATCCGGGGAGGTGTGTTTTACATCCCGGAATACCTCAACCGCTCCGTTGCCACTCTCCTCATGCACATGCTGCAGGTTGACCCCCTCAAGCGAGCAACCATCAAGGACATCAGGTCAGCCAGGGTGGGATGGGGTGGGCTGGCTGTGCTTGGGGGGCTCTGACAGGCTGGTAGCAGAGGGCAGTGGTTGTCCTGGGGGTTATCTGATGGTGTGTGGGCAGTAGTCAGCTAATCCAGCTGATTTTTGTCCCAAGAGATTCAAGGAGCATTCATGCACCCTTCTGTGCGGATGGAGAGATAGGTGAGGATGAACAGGGTGATGATTTTGTATGTATGTATTTTGTGTGTCTGTGTATACATACATACATATATATATATTATCCTAGAATGGTTTGGGTTGGAAGGGACCTGAAAAGATCATCTAGTTCCAGCCCCCTGCCATGGGCTGGAACACCTTCCATTCAACCAGGTTTCCCAAGACCCTATCCAACCTGGTCTTACATATATAAATGCTGTTTTACTGCATTATAAAATAGCCTAAAAAGCTCTTAAAAGTGCTTAGCAAAACCAGCTATATTGTGCAATAATTCTAAGAACTTAATATCCGCCAGCCATTTTTCATTGCTTTATTTCAAGACCACCTTCCCCTGGATACCGGTTCAGAATAAGAGGGTAATCACTGTACTTAGTGCATATCCAATCAAAAAGGAGGAGAAACATAAGAATTGCTAACTTAATCCATAAATATTGGATATAGTTTTAAATGTGAGCAAATGGTTTATCTTTAAATGCAGCAAAGTCTTCTTGTGTAGTCAATGAGTGCAGTGCCCATGAACCTTTCATCTGCATGCCTCAATGTGGAAATTCAAGGTAAAGGGTACAAATGGGTTCTTATGCATGTATTTGTGCCCACAGAGATCATTATAAGTTTATGACTGGTAGCAGGACTTCAAAATTCTCACTGTCTGAGCCATTTTAGAAGCATTTTGTTAAACTGGAGACTGTTAAGCATTTTAGGAGGTTTATAGTAATCATTACATCCCACTGGTGTGCTAAGCATATACATAAATGTTACTAGGACATTCAGGAGTTCTCAGGTTTTTAATGTATTTGCAATGGATGGCCTTAATTTTACCCTTCAAGGAAAACCAAGTAAAATGCCTGTTTTATTTCTGAATTCTTTAATACTAGAGGATTTAATTACATTATAGAGCAGCAGCACTTATGGTGAAATCACAGTTGCTATGTAGAACCTATAGATGAGGTTATAATTTAATTATCACTTAATTATCATTGACTTCATTGTAAATCAGTGGGAATCAGGTACCTGGATAGCTTTGATGCTCTGTATCCCTATCAGACCCATAGTAATCAAAAAGTGTGAGCATCTCTTATGTGCTGAGCTCTTACTTCAAAGCCATGTGAGCCAGCAGCCATGCTTGTAAAGTGTCATTGCCATTGCAATACTGGAGTGCCCATGCAGGACTGGACTGAGCTCAACCTGCAGCTGAGGATTCATACTGGACCAAGTGAGGGCCTGGCGGCAATGGGTGCCCCAGTGCTCTTTGCACAGAGCTCACAGTGGCTCCTCTCTGCTTTCCCCAGGGAACATGAGTGGTTTAAGGAGGAGCTGCCCAGTTACCTGTTCCCAGAGGACCCTTCTTACGATGCCACCGTCATTGATGATGATGCAGTTCGGGAAGTTTGTGAGAAGTTTGAATGCACGGAGTCGGAGGTGATGAACAGCCTGTACAGTGGTGACCCTCAGGACCAGCTAGCGGTGGCTTACCACCTCATCATCGACAACCGGAGGATCATGAACCAAGCCAGCGAGTTCTACCTCGCCTCCAGCCCCCCCACGGGCTCCTTTATGGATGACAGCACCTTGCACATCCCTCCTGGGGTGAAGCCGCATCCTGAGCGGATGCCGCCATTGATAGCGGACAGCCCCAAAGCACGATGTCCTTTGGATGCCCTCAACACCACAAAGCCAAAACCTCTGACTGTCAAAAAGGCCAAGTGGCACCTGGGAATCCGCAGCCAGAGCAAACCCTATGACATTATGGCTGAAGTGTACCGTGCTATGAAACAGCTCGATTTCGAGTGGAAGGTAGGGAGTGCTGCTGCTTCTTGGTGGCCTTCAAGGGCCATTTTCTCATGAGCTGAATTGCTCAGGGATGTCAGTAAGTATGCTTACAGCCTCACCCAATAAATGCCCCGCACCTTGCAATCATCCCAGCTCTTTCTTGTTAATATAAACACGCTGAATTAAGATGCTAGCTGTGGTTCAGTATCTGTTGTGTTTATGGCGTGAAATAAAAGTTCGCTTTCCGAATGCTCTAAGCCTCTGGATGGAAAGATGATTCTGCCTTGTTTAGCTGCAGGGATAAGAGGAGCCAGTCACATTTCTAATTTTAGTGGCTAATTCCTTGCGAGGTCATCTTGAGTGCTCCTGAGCCAATAACCCTCATTATTTGTGCTTGGGTCCTGTCAGTCATGTGTGCTGAAATGGCACGATATGCATCTGCATAAAAGATGCACAGATGAGGGGAGCAGGAGCACTGATGTGGTGGCATTTTCCTTGTCAGAGATGGAACAGTGCTCGTGGACCAGATATGCTTTCAGACACTTACTGATTCCTTGGTTTAGGCTCAGCTCCTTGAAGCTTGATATAAACCCAGATGACATTTTAGTTGATGGCACTAACTTCAGGTATTTCTTCAGAGCTACGCAGCATTTAGTCAGAATCTCTTTCAAAGTCAGATTAATAAATCCCTAATTTAGCCATGAATATTTGCTGCTGAGCCTGATTCCCTGAACCTCAGTGCAGTTGCTGAGGTGAGCTCTCCTGACTCATGGGCTTTCACAGCAGCCTCATGAGAGCATCAGGAGCAAGGTAAGGAGACTTTCAGCCCAGATCTTCATTACCAGAGGAGATGATACTGTCCTCGCTCCAGCTCCCAAAGGTTCTACAGTGTGAAGGTCACAGTGCTGCTTCTTCAAAGCCTTCTATCTCCTGCTTACTTTTAATAATGTTACGTATCTAAAAGCCAAGTAGCACCCAGGAACCTGATTTCACTGCAACAGCCAGGGGATGGACTGTCTTCAGATGCATATACCCTAACTATTCTATGATTCTATATGTGTGTGCCAGCCAGCCATTCATTAGTTGCATGGTTTTATGGAGAGTGAACAAACCTGATGTATTTCTGGTACAGCTTCACAAACCAAGTCATCCCAATGTCTTTATGTGGGCAGTGGAGCTTGTTTTGTATGAGAAGGCTTCACAATCTTTCCCACCCTAAGAATAACTTCAGATGTGACTCTTCATCAAAATAGCTTTTCCATCCGTGCAATTGCTTTGTAATTATAGCGCAGAGAAGATCTCATTGCAAATGAGGTGCAGCAGATCGTGAGGTGGGAAGTGGCAACAGAATATCCACAGCTGAAGGCTGATTCACGAACACTGAATTTAGCTGCACTGATGGAAGAAGTTGCTCTCCCCTGCCCAGCTGGTTTCACAGGCAAGGTCCTCATATGTGGGTCCATGAGTGGACTTTTTGGCTTATATAGCCGTTGCTGCTGGTGAAGAAAACAGCAGTTTGGTGGCTGGCAGATGGGTCAGAGCAGCTTCATCTGCCAGCAGCTGCTGAATCACAGCCTTGTGAAGCATCTTTCTTAGAATAGGAGCAAATAGGATATGAAACCATTTAATTCATTTTGTAGGCATTGTTCTTTCTAGAAACTGTGTTTTTTTATCAGAAAATGTCTTACTAATGCTTAGAAAAACATAAGGGAAGAAATGTTCTGCTTTCTATCTTGAGTCTTACTCCCAAAAGCTTGTTTCTCACTGCAGGTAGTGAACTCCTACCATCTCAGAGTGCGCCGCAAGAACCCAGTGACAGGCAATTATGTGAAGATGAGCCTGCAGCTCTACCAGGTTGACAACCGCAGCTATCTCTTGGATTTCAAAAGCATCGATGGTAAGTGGGATATGATGCAACATGAGATGTAAAACACATAAAATGGCCGGTTTTGAAGCTAATAATAATAATAGCAATAATAATAATAATAATAATTCTTCATATTTTGAAATGCTTATGCAGCTGTTTCAAGTCAGTGAAAGCCCTTTTGATCCATTTGCTTCCACTGCTGTTACTAGTTCCATACTAAACGTGCATTGCAGATGCCAAACTAATGCCTCTCTTTCTTTGCTCTTTCTATTCTGAATATTGAAGACGATGTGATGGAGCAGAGGTCTGGCTCGTCCACACCGCAGCGTTCCTGCTCTGCTGCTGGCTTGCACCGGCCGAGGCTGAGCATTGATGCTGCCGCGGCCACCGAGTGCCAGTCACTGATGGGCTCCCTGAGCGGCTCCTTTGTGGGCAGCATCCCCTCGGTGACACCACGCCTGGGCAGCCACACCATGGACTTCTTCGAGATGTGCGCCAGCCTCATCATGGCCCTGGCTCGCTGATGAGTGGCACCGAGGCGCCGGTCCCTCCGCACACGGTATTGCACTGTGAGGATCTGGTCTGACCTGTCCGTTCCTTGTTTCTTCTGCTTCGTTCCTCCTCCTCCTCCGCCCTTCACCACTCCACAGACTGTGACACAGACCCAATTCCAGACCCAGAACATACACCCCTCTAACAAGGCACTGAGGAAATCAAGAACAGCTTCATTTCATTCACGATACCGTGGTGAAATGTATCCAATATCCTTTTTTTTTTCCTGGTGAACCAAATGGGAAATATTGGCATGACTGTAAAGTAGTAAATGTATCACTGAGGTTTTGGAACACACCTCCCCTCTGGTTCATCCTGAGTTAACTGAGCGCTGGCCAAGCCTTCTGAGATACAGGCAGCATGTGATAAGATTGATGTTGTGTCCCCTTTGCTGTGCAGAGCAGGGGCAGGATGGGCTGAACCAGGTCAGAGGGGTCAACCAGGAGCTACAAGAAATGGAGTGGAGGGGTAGTGAAGCAGCTCTGCAGCTTTCACACCTGGATGCCAGCAGAGTGCCAGCCTCTGGTAACACTTTCCTCCTAAAACTAGCAGCTGCTTAGATGCGTCTGCACTAGTGCAATATGCCATGCCCTGTTTTTTTCCCCATGCTAAAGATGGGAAAGTGGGATTTGCAAAGGTCCTGTTAGAAACCTGCCATGGAAAATCCTCTAAGTGTCAATTCTTTACAGAGGAATGTCTCTGAAGATGCTTTGTTTCTTCTCACAAGAGCCCTAGATGTCACTGACCTGCTCACCACACTCAGATGCGAAGGCTGCTTGCCTTTTAACCAGCCCTTGATAATCATGCCCGGCCAACACGCTCACGCTCCCCTGCCACACCACCAGTTCCACAGCCTGAATCTCAAGCAGGAGTCCAATGAGCCACCAATGGACAGCAAGACGCAGATGACCCACCTGAAAACCACACTTCACCTAAGGGTGGGGATCCAGGCGAGATGGAGCAGCATCATACAGCTCCGGAGCACTTACCCATCACCTTTCCCATAGGAAGCCTTCGCCTGCTGTCACCATCCTAGAACTGCTGCAAATCTGCCTTCCTTACCTCCCTGCTCACCGCTTCATGCTGCTGGAGGCTTGCTTTTCATGCTGAAGGGCTCTCCCATCCCGCTGCTGCTCACCGGGCTGTGACCTTCACCATGCCACTGATAAGGCAGGGATATCTGAATCCAGAGATTTACTATTTCTTTACTACTGGTTACCTGAAGGATAGGGTTTTCTTTTTTTTTAAGACAAACTACAGGGATTTTTAAGGTTAAATTCTTGTTATTCAAGGGTAAGCTCTAATGCATGTATGACTACTTTGTGTAAAAGAATTCTTATTTTTTGATTACCGAGGTTTAATTTAATGGGCCTCTGCTTGGCTTTGCTATGGTATTTGATTCCATTTACTTGATTTCAAAGAAAGATAATAGTCTCATCAGTCAGAAAATGCTTTATGAAAACTTTGCCAAAAATATCCAGGGACAAACACACACACATTTATTTTCTTCTCTTTTTTGGGTTTTGTTTTAAGAAACAAAGCAAAGGGGAGCTTTTGCTGGTCCCAGGTATGTGGTCATTCAACTTAACTGAAAAAACTTTAATCCATCTTTTTTATAGTTTCTCATGACCCATCAAGGGGTTTTGCCAGGTGTTTTTTTTTTGTACAGTTGCACTTTAATTTATACTTTCTGCAAGTTTCTATGGGAAGCAAGGAAGGGAATGACACATTAAGCCTTTTGTACTCATCATTTTAGGTAATGAAGACAAATACGGGATATTTTTGCCATCTACTGGCAGTTAAATGGACATTTTCAGCTTGATGTCCCTTTTTCTTTCCTTAAGAAACACAAAATTGCCTTACTTTTGTTACAGATTACACTTGGATTCTCACTAAACGTGACTTTACAGCTCCTATTCTTCCAGAAGCTGCACAAAGTAGAAAGCTTCTAAACAGTTTTGCTGTTCTTGTCTGCTAAATCCAGCACAACAGTGGCTGCATTATAAATCCAGCAGCAGAACACTTTTGTTTTTTAGAAGAAATACTGGAAATATTTGTAGTACTCCTAGGTTTTGTAATGATCTTTTTATTATATGACCATTATTGAATAAATACTCCGGGGTGGAGGATGGCTTTGGTTACTGTGCCTGGTGGCTATCAGATGATGCATGTCTCCAGTGCTGTGGTGTGAGCAGGTCAGACCTGGTGAGGATGGAGAATCTAGACTCCTGCATGCAAAAAAAAACACCCCACCCCAGAACCAAAGCTAAGCAGCACACCCAGGTCTTTAGCAGCTTTCAGATCAGTGCTGAGACATGAGCAAATGCTGAGTAAACAGCCCTAAATGGTATTGGGTGCTGGAGATAAGCCCCTTTGGAAAAGAGCAGGAGAAGGCAGCTGAGTGGCCATAGGGATGGACATTCATTTCCATCCAAGAAACAGCTATGAGTGTCCATACCCCAGCTATGGAATGTATTTGAAATGTAAAACTGTTTTTAAATCATCACCGCAGCTGAGCATCTTGCCAAGTTGCTTGTCCTGGAAACATCTGTAGCCCGGTTGATAAGGGGCTGGTGCAGATTATATTAGATACAATCTGTGGTTCAGAAGCATGTAGATGTACAGATGTCTTGCCTTAAAATGACACTTGTCCTCTGTGATTTCCTACCCAGCAGAACTAATAGTATTAAACAGCAGCAAATGCTCTTGGGAGGATATATTTACTTCCTGGAGGTGGGTGGGATTTCAAGGTGGTAAAATAAGCCCTTGTGGCACTTGGCGTCTTCTTAGACCCATGCAAACAGAAACTCATATATGGATCTGCAAAACCAGTCCTGCCTAGAAGGCAAGACAAATGGCTCAGTTTTCCATATGGAGAGGCACAAAGAAAGATGAAGCAACTTTCCTGCTTGATGTCAGCAGAGACAGTGGAGTGAGTAGGACTGATGGAAGTACCTCTTTGATGAACCCATTGATTGAGCTGTCTGTTACAGCCTTACCCAAATCCACGTTGCATATTGAATTATTCCTCGAAGTTTCACTCTTTTTTTCCCTTTAATATTGTATTCATTTTACCTTCAGATAAGCTGTTTTCTGGTTCCTAGCTGCAAAGAAGCTGCTGACCTCCAGTTATATTTTTCCAGAGGAAAAGATTAACTTCTACACTGTTACACTGTGGTCAGGTTTGGTTTTTGAGTTAATGCTGGTACATGCATGTGCATCGGGAAAAGCAGGGGAGACATATCTGGATTACAGAAACTTGAATTACTCCAAGTGCAATTCTTCAAAAGCCTCTGGACAGCTGTGCTTTGCAAGCCACAAACTCACCTAAACTTTGCTTCAGCCCAAAGGGGAGAGAGACAAAATGCAGAGGATATAGAGGTCAGAATAGGTTCCAGCATTAACCTCCAGCTCTTGGGTGAGTTCATTCAGAAATAGCTTGTAGTGTATTAGTTGGAAAACATATATATGTATGCATAGATAATATATACATATATATATATATAAAAATGTGGTTAGCATCCCTGTCAGTGGTCTCTCAGTTTTATTTGCCCAGCAGTGTAGCTGTGTGCCCTGGATACCTGCCATTGCACACACTAACCTGAGCATGTCAGAGGACCTGGAGAAAAGGGATGGTATTTTTACACCCTCTTCTAGGTAAAGCCCTTGAGTAGCTTAGCTGACCCCATTGGACCCAACACAGCCTTGTCCGGGAAAGGGAGGAGCGGAGCCACGAGCATCCTGCCCTTCCACACTCCCTGGCCAAAGCCCTGGTGCCAATGGGGTTTGGGGCACTATTATTTTCAGGAGTCAAAGCTGAGCAGGCAAAGGCAGAGGGATGTTTATTTCCTCTTAACAGGTCAGAAGTGCATCTTCAGTGTGTGTCCAACTGAGCATTTCATAAGGTGTGTACAAGCACAAGGGTATATATACAGGCAGTGTTGTAAAAAACTAAGCAAGTGGTTGGTATCTGTTGTATATACATTTTTTTTTGTGTGACTATGATGCCATTCATATTGGAATAGATGAAGTTTGAACAAAATAACCATTCTGTCTACTGTTCATTTTACTGCTCTTTACTGTCAGTCATCTTGTGTGCACCCAATAGAGAAGGAAGAGAGACCTATACACAGTATGTGAAATCGTGCCTTCAACATACATTAGCACTGCTGGAAGTCGCAGCTTTATTTCACGAGGTGCACAGATTCCCCCATTTTATGCAGAATCCCACTGGTGAGGCATGCAGGCCATGTTTCCAAATACTTGAAGTACCATTTCTTATGCAATTATTTGGCTTCACCCTTTTATTAGCTGGGGGGAAGAAGAATGGCACATCCATCCCTTTGGATGAGCCAAACAAATCCTTGTTCCAGCTCCTGCAGTATTTTACAGGAAAGTTTTAGGGTCTGTTTTTATTTCAGTTATATACCTACTAGAGTCACTTTTTTTAAGATCTTACTTTGATATGGGCTTTCCATTTAGTGCTTTCCTTTGCCTTCCTTTTATATTCCTCTTCATCATTCACTGAGAAGAAAAGCAACAGCTTCTTGTAATTGTGAATTTCCAGCCTGCCTCTTGGACACAGAGGTACCTAACTCCCATGCCTGAGAGGTGAACTGGTGTTCAGAATTCCCACATTATACCTGTTGATGAAGCACTGACTTTTGCAGATAGCAGACCTGGTATTACGTGTATTCGATGCACATATCTTTGCTCACTTTGATCACCAGAATTAGGAGAACTGGAGAGTAAATCAAAGCTCTAGTTGCAAAGTATGAGCATACTTTTGCTGTTAGAAAAAGTCTGTTTTCAACAAAAGCCTTGAAATTCCTGCTGAAGCTGCCTTATTTAAAAATCAGTTTATTTGTAAGACTCATCTCCTTTTATTTCCAGTTTTGAAATAGTTTATTTATCCTCATCTCACAAAGCTGTGAAGTAGATACTGTAGACATGGTACTATTTATTCCTGTTGCCGAAAGCATGTTCATGTGTTCTGTATCATGTTGTATTCACGTTTTGTACCTCAATGCATCTGTGGGGTTTGTTTTTCCTTTCAGAGCACAAAGCAAAACTGAATCCCAGGATAACTGTAGTGTCCATGGCCAGCATCTTTGGGCAGACAAACCTCAGTTCTAGGAGAGAGGTGAATCAGACTAGTCTACTGCAATTTTTGGTTTGTACTATAAGGAGTATTTATGATTTATAGTATGTATTTATGGTTATTTTTTGGTTAAAATACTGAACTTAAAAAAGCTCTAAGAATCCCTTCAAACATATCATCTTTAATGTGAAGCGCACAAAAAACCCGAGCTCTACAAATACCCCATCCTTCTTGGTACTTTCTATTTTGTCAGCTGATGGACTGGAGAAGGTTTTGGTTTCAGATGAATTGTTTTAGTACTTTCTGGGGTTTAGAGCTTTTGGGTACAGAGCCTAGGTTCAGTTTTGTCCTTTGTGCAAGTAACTGTGCATTAGAATAATCACAACGAAGCCTTTTACCTCCCATTTATGGCGTGGAAAGTGTTTCTCGGTGTACTGCACTGCATGTGATTGATAGCTGTCTCCATGGTTGACATTTGCACTTTAATAAACTCGGAGATGAAAAGAGGCAAAAGCAACAAATCCTTAAAACTTACTTATTGTACAGCCCCTTTTTGGGTTGGCTGGTAGCTTCCCTTTGGAGATGATGCTCCCAGCACATCTGATCTGTGGGACCATGGATGCCCCCAGGGCTTGGGAGGGGCAAAGGGGCAGGAAAGGGAACTAAAATACATATATGAATAACATAAACAGCTTCCCCAACCCAAAATACACACCAGGAGTCAGACCCAAAGGTTTTCTACTGTATTAACGTGCATCCAGCAGAGCTGATGGCCCTGTGCTGACTCCAATCTCGACTCCTTATGCAGAAGCATGGAGAGA